CCCACCGCTGCCTGCCCAGGGGTATTTATTTATCACCTCCTCGTCCGCTTCCACATCCCTCCTTTGCCAGAGAGCCCAGCAGGGCCCTGTCGTGCCGAGCCCCCCGCGGTGACACTGGCTCTCGTGCCCTCTGCCCCATCTGCAGGAAGCCACTCGTTCCCTCCTGCCTTACACCTAGGCTGGAAATCCTTTGGGGACATTTTTATGTCTTAGACTTGCAGTCCCTTCCTACGCAGCGTTCTGCCCCAAGGCTACTGGAATACAAATAATAAGAAAAGTGGAGGTAAAGAAAACAGTTTAGTGGGGAAAAAAGCGGCTGCTGATGGATGCTTCAGAAGAAGGTGGCTCAGAGCTGGAGCAAGCAGCGAGCCCGGGGGCAAACACCCCCCCCCCATCTGCAGCAAGGTCTTGGGTTGTAAGGACCCAGGCAACCTCCACGAGGTGCTGGGAGCTGCCCCCTGCAGACACCCAGCACCGGGCAGGGAAAGATCCCACTGCTTTAACATTCCAGCCGGGTAGTCAGGGACTACAGCTCCATGTCCCAGTGAAACTGGTAGGAGCCCAGTAAGTGCCAAGGATGTAATTCTACCCCAAAGACGGGCACTTTGGAAGAACTGTAGGATCATTTCTAATCTTCACTGGTAAAACGTGGTTCAGTAGCCTGTGGACTTTTCTGTCAGGACCTAAGTAAAGGTTGTACAACGCTGAAGCCCAGTTTGTTTTGTGGAGCAAGACCTGTTCCTCCTGCCTTAGTAAGTGCTGAGGGAAGAGGCTGTAGGTGCTCCCTGCACACCAGTGGAGAAATGTCCAGTATCTGCAACGTCTCCTCCTAATCCCAAGACTCTGAGAGGGGAAGGGCAGCCCAGGCCCAGAGCTCTGCTCTCCATAGGCTGCTGTCAGGGAACTTCTGAAAACCTACAGAGCAGAAGCAAAGCTCTGAGCAATCCAGCCATTATATTAATTTCTGTTGGCTCTTGCAGCCACACCCTGTCTTCAATTATATTCCTCAAAAAGAGGGATGAAAGCCAGATATCCTCCTTAGCCTCCTTTTTGCTCAGGGTTTTCACTGCTGAGAGCCCAGGCAGTGTGGGGAGCACAGGGGATGTGTTTCTAGGGGAGGATGGACTTGTATTTCAGGCACTGCAGTCCCAGCCAGGTATCTGGGCTCTGACAGACTCCAGCTCTGTCCTGGAGCAAGTTCCTTCACTGCACCATGTGAATAATGAATATTCTAGGATGCTGCCAGCCTGGGGTAGGCGTCTTTTTATCGCTTCTGATCTAAGCAAAGAAATAAATTATCTCACTGCAGAGTGGAGAGCCCTAACTTACGCTGGTGAGAAGATGATCACGTCTATATATGCTCGGGGACACTCTCCCACCGTGGTGACAGAAGCCACCCAGGGAAATGAGAGGTGGCCGAGCCTACATGTGCAGGGGTCTGCTGCCCTCCTGCCCAGAGGTGACGGCTGCTCGTGGGGCTCCCTCTCAGGTGTCACAGTCACCACCACAGAGGATTGATCACAACTGCCCCTGTAAGTACGGACATACTTGAGTCAAAGGTTACTTGTGAGCAAGAGTTTCTTGGAAATTCCACCCTGTAGGGAACAGAAGCCTCCATCCCCTGGAGAGCAGAATATCCTCTCATTACAGCAGTCTGCTGGAGAAAGATACTTGCACTGGTGGAGCCAGTTCTCCGAACGTTCCTCTGGCTATTGCTTGCCTGGTTTTGGAGATCGCGCTCCCACGAGTAGCCAGGCTGGGCTAATTCCTGCCTCTGCTCCAACAGACTCAGCTAAGAAATGCCAAAAGCTTTTCTCCTCATTTTGTGCACAGCACAATCTTAGTAATGGCAAAGTCCTGTGGGATCACATCTCAGTCCATCCAGGGCATTGGATGTTTCACCCACAGATACCCCCTTCCCTGTCTTCTCTTTCTTGATCTATGATCACGACAAATTGGGGAAGCATGGACAGCAATTAAGGTACTTCAGAGAGGTACTTCATGCATTGCAGCTCATATCAAGTCTGTGTAACATCTAGACCCAGAGGACTTCCAACATCTAGCAGCCTGATTGTCACAGACCGTGAGCAAGTTGAATTCTTGAGTTTGCATGACCAGCGAAATACACACCACAGATGGGGAACTAATCCCACCAGGAATCACCTTGGTGATTTCAGAAACCTCACAGCAGAGCGTGTCTGTCCCTGTGCCTGTGTGTCCCCGTGACAGGTGACAGACATCTACCCACCACACCTCTGGTCTCTTCACTGCTACGGTCACTATTATTCACACTTTTCAGAAGTGAGAATTCATATTAATTTCTCATTTTTGTTTTACATACTTTACCATAGCATGTGATATAAAAAGTTTATTGGACTAAGAATTAAATAAATACAAATTAATAAAAGATAAAAGGCACTTTGATGTTATAAATACCAATGTTTCTTCTTTGTACATAATCGAGACCAACTTTTTTTCTTGACTTGTTGTAAAGTTTGCATCATACAAAAAGCCGATGACTCACAAAACATTATTTTACTTTTTGGAATAAGCTGCTGACATGTAAAGTATCTTCCTTGTGAACTGGGATTTCTAGAGGGAAACTGCCTATGGGCTATTTATTCTTGGCATAAACAGCAAGACTAGCCAGCCCCGTGGGAAGAAGAAACACTCTGCAGGTGACACCCCCTTTGGAAGGTATAAATAGAGATCTGCGGCAGCAGCCACCCTGCAGTCTGATTCAGTATCAAGCTGTGCATCTTGCTTTGGGCTTGGGGTTGGATCTGCAGCTGGCCTCAAAATGAGTTGTAGTGTGAAGCAGACAACTGGCTCTCTCAGGGGCAGGACCAGCGGGGGCAGCTGCGTGATTGGTGGCGGTGGTGGTGGTGGAGGAGCCCGGGTCTCCTCAGTCTCCTCTGGAAGATACACGACTTGCGGGATAGGTGGTAGCCGAGGGTTTTCTGGTAGAAGCTACTGTGGTGGTGTGAATTACGGAGGAGGGCTGAGCACTGGCAGTGTGGTTGGTGGCAACTATGGAGGTGGCTTAGGAGCCGCTGTGCTCGGCGGCTGTTCGGGCATTGGGTTCAGCGGTGGCAGCGCGCGCTTTGGCGGTGGCATCGGAGGTGGCATTGGTATGGGTCTTGGTGGAGGGGTAGTTGGAGGTGGGTTTGCTGGTGATGGCATTCTTCTTTCTGGTGACGAAAAGGTCACCATGCAGAACCTTAATGACCGCCTGGCTTCTTACCTGGACAAGGTGAGGTGCCTGGAACAAGAAAATGCTGATCTGGAGTGCAGGATCAGGGAGTGGTATGCCAAGCAGGGCCCTTTTTGTGAGCCCCGGGACTACAGCTGCTATTATAAAGAAATAGAAGATCTTCAAAATCAGGTAACATAATTTCTAAGCTGCTTGCTCCCTTATAAGCTTCTCCCACGGTGTTGGTTCACAGCCTAGTGCAGATATCAGGAGTAATATTTCATTGCTGTAAAATGCTTTTTCTAAACAACCATTAAGACAATTGCCTGTAGAAAGCCCTAGAGCTGAAAGGTAAAAACCTTGAGTGTTTGGGCTGTTTCCATTGCTTTTATTCATCAGCTGTATTTGCAGGGGGAAACGTTATCTTCATGGAATACATCTGGGTTGGCTCAGTAGTAGTTCTGAATTACATTTGTGCCAAGGTGTTTAAATAGATATATGCCAAGAAAGCAACTGGAAGAGAAATAAATAGTGGATCACATTAATTTGCCTGAACTTATATTATTCTGTTGTTAGTCTTGCAAAATCTCAGTTAAACATAATTTCCTTTTTTTTACAAGCTTACTCTTTCATACAGAATTGGGAAGTGTAGCACATCTAATTAAAAGAAGAACAAAGAGAACGTTGCCTTAGCACATTCCGAGTATGCAATTTAAAATTAAAAACCTTTGCAAAGTGTGTTTGGCAAAAATTCTAGAATGTCAAGGCACAAAGAAGAATGAAGTGAAAAGAATGCAGGAAACAGGCAGGATGAGACAGACATAATTAAGTCTGGAAACAAAGTTTTTAAGTCTCTTATCCATGAAAGTAAGATTTAGATTTAAAAGGTGAGGTGAATTGTAGCAGGTGCTGGACAATAGTAATTGTACCCCCTGACTGCATCTGAACCATGTGTTTTATAACTTTAATGGCTTCACCATCTGTCAGTGAACACCCACCCCAGGACAGCTGCAGTCCTCAACTCCCCCATGGCTGCTACCCAGTATTAAAAAAGAGAGAGAAAGAGAGAGGGGGAGACAGGGGTTAGGTCTGGTGGCACCAGTCCATGGGTACACCGGAGCCTGAGGGCACAGGGAAAAGACTTCAGGGGTAAATATTCTTTTTCCAGATTGTCTGTGCGACCATAGACAACAACAAGATCATCCTGAACATCGATAACAGCAGGATGACGGCTGACGACTTCCGAGTGAAGTGAGTGCCCCTCGGCTGTCCCCTCACTGCACCCCCTCACGGGGCTGGGCAGGAGCTCTCAGCCAGGCCCTGGAGATCCTCTGGTCAGGACAGCCTGGAGGCTACACAGAAAAGCTCTTTCATCCATTGCCTCTAGAGCTGCCTTAATTAGTGTCAGTGCCCGGGTGGAAAGTTTGGGAGAACACACTGGTTTTGAGTGGAGATGGGTTTCCAGAAAGGGACCTGCAGACGGGGAGCAGTGGGGGTTCACCAGAGCTGCCATTCTGGCACATGGTGTCTTTCAAAGGGGAAGTGTTGTTTATTCCTGTCGGAGCCCAGAGATGTGGTGAGTGACAGCTCTGCCCTGGTGCAAAAGCTCCAGAGAAGGCAGAGTCAGGGCAGCTTTGATGGAGCCAGCCTCCTGCTGCTTTTGGAGTTCCTTAGGCTAGTCAGGAAAACGCTGTCAGAGAGATGGACGGTCAAAGGAAGAAAAGAACAAAGGGTGGTGCCAGACACTGCCTACTCCTTGCTCTCTCTGGCTCACAGGTACGAGACGGAGCTGGCCCTGCGCCAGAGCGTGGAGGCCGACATCAACGGCCTGCGCCAGGTCCTGGACCAGCTGACGCTCTGCAGGTCGGACCTGGAGGCCCAGCTGGAGTCGCTGCGGGGGGGGGCCTGGTGCCTGAAGAAGAACCACGAGGAGGTAGGGTCCTGCCCCTCTCCTCTCTGTGGTCCCCAGCCCTGGGGTGCTGGCTGTGGGGGCAGGTGCTTGATGGAGACAGTACATGGGAACGAGGAGCTGTGAATGTCTGGCAGAAGGGGAGAAGGAGAATTTGGGTCTCTCCCTTTTTTCCTTTTTTAAAAAAATGACACGATCTGGGTGGTGTTTCCAGGAAATGAGTTGTCTGAGGAAACAATCGACTGGAGATGTGAGTGTGGAGGTCAATGCCTGCCCGGGCCCAGACCTCAGGAAGATCCTGGAGGAGATGAGGTGCCAGTATGAGACGCTGATCGAACGCAATCGCAAAGAAGTTGAGGATTGGTATGAGTGCAAGGTGAGTAACCTCACACAGCTCTGACTTTCCCTGGCCAACACTCAGGCAGTGGTTCCACAGTCATTTATTACACGTTAAAATCACACAACATCTTGTAACCGCATTTAGTGTTGGCTGAAATGGCCCAAGTGACACAGGGGATACTGCTGTGCTGTGTCCTTCTCCTGGGGTGATGGGGTGGGAGGCAGGAACCCTCTACAAAGCAGTAAGCAGTGGGAAGGACTGCACAGCAGCACTGGTGGAAGAGCAAGAGGGATGACAAGCAGGGTTTACACTCTGTTAGGATGAGAGAGTCCACTCAAGCCTTTCCCATTTCATTTTTTTTGCCAGCTCTTCTGTTCTTTCCTTAATACTTCATCTGACTTACATTAAACATTCCCTGAAATCCTTTCTTCTCGACTGGTGCTTTTCAGATTGAGGAGGTGAATCGGGAGGTTATTACAAGCGGTCAGGAGGTGGAGACGTGCAACAACCAGGTCACTGAACTGAGACGCCAACTGCAAGCCCTGGAAATCGACCTCCAGGCTCAGCTCAGCCAGGTGGGTGCTGAGCTGCTGCAGAGCTCGGCTGCCTCCCAGTCACGCTTCGGTGTAAGAGCTCGTAGCTAGCAGAGTGTTTCTCATGCTGTATTTGTATTGTGCCGTGTGTCACTCTGCAGAGGGACAACCTGGAATCCTCGCTGGCTGAGACAGAGTGTCGCTACAACAACCACCTGGCTGAGCTCCAGAGCCAGATCACGTGCGTGGAGCAGCAACTGGCTGATCTGCGAGCAGAAATGGAATGTCAGAACCAAGAGTACAAGATCCTGCTGGATGTCAAATGCCGCCTGGAGCAGGAGATCCACACGTACCGCTGCCTGCTGGAGGGTGGGCAGCAGGACCTCATGTAAGTGGGCTTGAGATGCACCAAAGGACACAACAAAGTGCCCGTGTCCTGAGTATTTCAACATAACGGCAAAGTGAAGGACGGAGGAGGCCCCGTCCAGCTCCTTCACCAGCAGTGACCTATCCAGGCTGCCTGGTAGCCAATGGTGGCAATCTGCTCCCCTACCCCCTGCCAGCCATTGCCACAAGGTCACTGCAATATTCTGCCAATTTTCTGCCCAAAAAGGAAAACAGATTGAGAGCAGCGTGGACATGAAAAACTGCAGTTCTAGTTCACCCATCATTTCCTTCACTAAAATGTTCTTTTTCTGTCCCCTTAGTCAGCAAGGAGGAATTGGCCAGTCTGCGGGTCTAGGAGGAGGAGTTGCAAGAGCAAGTGGAATAGGAGGAGGAGGAATCATTAGAACAAGCCACACTTACACTTCGTCTTCCCAGATGCCGTCCTGTGCAGCTGCGGAGATACAAGGTAAGAACTGCAGCACTCCACAACATTTCCACAGTCCTCTATTCTAATGCAACAAGGACAGGCCACCACAAAGATCTTTCCCATGTAGGTTATAGGTGCTATTTGGAAGCTTTATTGTGAAGCTACTGGGAAATATGTGATAGGAGGCCACAGAGGGGTGGGTACAAGAAGAGCTTCCAGGACCTTCTGGGACTCTGCTAGGAAGCATGAAAACTCCAAAAAGGGAGGAGGGGAAAGAGGTACAGAAGGAGGAGAAGAGCAAGAGGCAAGCCACAAAGAACATGGAGAAAGGACAGACATGAAATCTGGGAAAAAGGAAAGAGCAGGAGAAAGTAGAAATCAGGGGAAAAAAACCCAGACAGGGATCATGGGAATACTGGCAGAAAACTACTAGTGCCATTTCAAGGGGAAAATTCCAGCCAAACTGAAAAATCAAGAAAGAAATATGGGGACAGCTGGTCCAGGAGAATGAGTGTGAGCAGGGCACGGTTCTGGCAGGGACAGACGTCCCCTCACGCAGGCTGCTGCTGGTGCAGTGTCTGCAGCTTCCACCATCGGGCGCTGTGCTGGGCCTGGCAGGAATCCCTCTGCCTGGCCGCGGGCAGCACTCGACCTTCCCAGGAAGGGACAGTATTGACCTGAAACCCTGACTGAACCGGCCTGTGAAATGACCACATGTAGAGAATGACAGGGTGGGAAAGAATCTGGTTTTTTGCTCTAAACAAAGTAGTGTCTCCTTTGATCTCACCAGTGCCTTGCAGAAGGATTTGTGATTAAGCAGAGAATGAGAATACCCAAGGAGAGACGCCTGCAGCAGAGCCGTGGATGAAGAGCCAGGGAGTTCCCTGCGTGCCCCGGCGAGGCGCGAGGAGCTCCTGGGAGCTGCTCAGCAGTGCCAGCGGCGCCAGCGGGCGGGCACAGCGCCCCAGCCTCCCGCTTTGCTTTGCTACTTGCCTCTTCCAGTCTGTATCGCTGCGGTGCCCAGCCACCACGACTGCTGCTGCAGTTAGCCAGTAGTGTGATCACTAATGTACCTGCTGGGGGAAAGATTTCTCTAATAAAACTTTGCTTCTGCCCGATGCAATCAAAAAACCTGTGTCTGGAAACTGAGTTCCTTTAGAAAACCAGGTGCTGCTCCGTGCACAAGGGCCACCTAAACTGCTCAGCACCATACTCCACTGGGAACAAAGCTGCTTTGCCAGGGGGAGTCAGGGAAGGGCCTCGCTGACCTTGCAGGTCTGGTCCAGCTCTGCCCTGTAGTGCTCATTGCCCGTTCCTGCACCCTGTCCTCCAGGACCTACAGGAGGAGCCAGTTCAGGCAGTGCCCGTGTGCTTCCCAGAGCACCGTGCTAAAACACAATTTTAGAAAAATTGTGAAAGTCAGTGATGGAACATCTGGAGACAGATTGCCTCAGACCCAGCCTAGTGCTGACACATCTGGGTTGTGCCCTCTCATACTTCATCATCCAGCCTGGGCACTGTGATTAGGTTGAAGAAAAAATCTTGATCTCCACAACTGATTCCATTTCTGCTGATATGGTTTATATCCCAACCTACTCCTTCATTCCACAAGAATCTTCCCATTGAGCTAAGGATGAGAAGCAAAAGGTTTATTCCTTATCTATTTTCACACAGTGACTGAGTCAGTTACTGGTCATCCTTCTGTTTCAAATAGTTTCAACCTGAACACCAGGAACTGATGAAAGATCATCTTTACGTTAAACACGCCTTCTTTGGAGAACTGGGGAGGGCAGGATGGGAGTGGGAAAAGTGCAGCTCAGCAGAGAATACAATGGTGAAGAAAGCCAGCTAGGGCCTCTGGATGCACAGAGCCACTGTGGCTAAACCTCACTGGCACGGCAAAGACCAAAGACCCATCCCCCCTTCAGGCCCCCGCAGCACCCGCGTGGCTGCTGTGGGCTGCAGCCCTGGGAACCAGCCATGGGGAGATTCTGGAGCCTTTCTGGGTTTGGAGCGTATTCAGCTAAAAGCCACTATGAGCTGGAGGGTGTTTTGAGGACTAAGTTATCTGTTGGTGCCAGAAAACCAAGCAGTGGCAGCCTGCAGCTTCCCAGCTACACCAGCAGCACTGGACACGCTGCTGTTCCTTCTGGTACACAGCAATGTGGCTGTTCCAGAGTCATATTCACTTGTGATGATCTGGCAAAGCAAAACTCCTGCCTACTCCTTTTCTGGCAAAAGCTGGAGGTCATGGAACAGCCAGCCTCAGGGGGAGAGGCAAAAGGGTACAAAGACAAAAAAAGCTTTCAGGTCCTTACAGGCAGTACATCATGGCACACTTTTCTAGCTTCAATTCTTTTACACACACACCAATTTCTCTGTTGCTACAGAAATAGACTGAAGGCAACCCGAAACCTTCCAGGGAAGAAGCCCAGTCACTGGCATATCAAGGAGCAGGTGAAAGGTGCCCTTATTCTCTTGTAAAAGACCACAGAGAGGAAGATGTCTCAGTGGTAATTCTTTTTTTTCAATCTAGCAGACACTAAACTCAGTAGTGTCCAAGGGCTGCAGCACAATAAGAACACAGCAGTGGAACAACTGCAATAATAACTCAGCAGAGTAGCCATGTGTAGAAGGTTTTCAACCAAGACTCTAAATCAAGTCTTCTTTAAAGATCAGTTCCAGCCTGACAGAAAGTCCCAGATGATGCAGAAATCTCTCAACAGATGTGTAAAGGCCAGTGCTTCACAAGAGATCAAAAGACACCTATCATGTATCTTATATGCTGTAATGGCAAACTCCCACTGCCTGGACTCCTCTGTGCACAGCTCAGTTGTCCTCAGTGCTCTGGCTGAGCAGTCAGAAAGCAAATCTTTCCCTTTTCCTCTCCCATTGTCTTCTCCTGCCTCGTTCAGTGCAAAGCCAGGCAGTGAGATAACACACTGCTGCCCTTTCTGGCCTCGATCCTTCCCCACTTACCAGTCCTCACACTCTCATTTCTAAAACTATAAAGATACTGTACTGATGTTCTCCCAGTTTTCAGTCTTCTGGAAACTCCCATCTACTCCCCCTACAGAAGAGCTTGCTGCTTTCCCCTGGCACCCCAGCTGATGCCCACCAGTCTCCTCTTTCAAACTGCTGCTGACATCTAGCTGCTCCATCTGATTCCCCCTGCTCACATCAAAGACCTTCCCACCCTCCCCACCGTGTCCAGCAGTGCAGAGCACACACTTTCACAAAGGAGCTGTCCTAAATTCCTGAGAGGTGAAAGAGATGTAATGACACGGCCAGAAGGACTCAGACAATCCAGACTTTATGAATATGCCTCTGGAAAGCCCCTGGGGATGTACAGACTCAGCTCCTAAGACACTGTGATGTTGTTTGTGGACTTACAAGTTGGGATGCATCTGGAACGCATGAGAAGGTAGCTTGTAATAAACAGCTCCCCAGCAGAAAACACCCTGGAAACAACCCGGGTATTAAGGAGCTTCAAATTACGGAGCTGCACACCTTGGTCTGGAAACTACATTTCCATGAGATTTCCATATTTCTTTGTGCTAATGAGACAGACCCAGGAAGCTTATGAGTTCAAATAACCGAAGGAAAACAGGAGGGAAAGCTTAATTTAGTTTTTAAAGGTCTTCAGAACAATTATTAATGTTGTATCAGCTTAACTAGTGCACTCATTTCCTGAAGACAAAAAGGAAGAATAGCAAGAGAGCAAGTGTGTGCTGTGTGAGGATCCTGGTGGAGGTGCCTGCCGAGGGCCCGCACAGGAGGTGGGTCTGAGGGACAAAGCTCCATGTCCCCGGGGACCAGGCCAGCCCAGAGGGGCAGAGCTCTCCGCAGCAACCGCCGCACCAGGCATGGAGACATCCTCCACTCCCGGGGGACTAAGTCAGCCCGAGTTTCTGCCTGCGTTGCTCTGATGTGCTGGGGTGATAACCGTGGAGCTGAGGGAGGTACGTGTGCTCACGCCGAAAAGGTGCTTGCTGCAGACAGCTGTTGGGAAACTCCTGGAGACTCACGCGGGGCAGGCGAAGCTTCAAGCCATGCAGCATTACATCAGTTTCGGTTCATTCTTACCACCACACCCCGACTCCAATTATGTTCTCCAGTCCTAGTAATGAAATCCAGGTATTCCTCCCCATACACAGTAACTTTATTGGAGTTTTTACCTATTCTGAGCTTGGCTCCCTTGTACCTCAGGGACTGAATGGAGCACGGCTTGGGAGGCAGGGCAGGTGACAGGCACTGCGGGCTGATTCAGGAGACCTGGGCTCAGCTGCAGACTCCGCCAGAGGCGTGCTCTTTGTCTTTGAGTAAATCACTTTGAGCAATTCTCTCCCCACCTCTGTCTCCAGACTACTGGAGATATCACTGGAATGCTGCTGGCTCTCATTGTACCAGATAAGTAACTTCTAAGGATTCAGAGATAAGGGGAGGTATCTTTTTAGAAGAAATAAAAAGAATAAGAGCAACAAAACGATGGACAAATCCACAAACACTGGGGTACTTCAGCCCCTCTCTAAGTGCGATTATTTACTTGCCACAGTTATAGCTAGTCCAATGCACAATCCTGACCAGGGGTGAGGATTTGAGCAGGAGTTTGAGCTCCCTCTTCCCTGGTGAAGCAGGTTTGGAGAATTTCCTGGTGGAGGGTTAGTCTGAGAAAGCTGTGGGACGCTCTTCCGCAATGGCCATCAGAAACAGGCTCACCTAGAGAGGCCATCACTCTTGAGTCTTAGCAAAACACCTAATGAAAATTGCCTGAATTTTGCTGTCAGAAGAGTGAAAGGATCATTACCTTTTAATCTCTCAGCCCAGCTAAGATTTGGAAACAGTAATGATAGAGAAGAACCTCTAGTTTGTACTTAATCCATCTTCTCCAAGGCGGTGTAGAGCTGCATTAGGCAACGGCAGCTCTGCCAGCTGTATCAGCAGTTCTGGCTTTCTGCCTCCTAGGACAGCAGTCCCAAACCTCTTGGCAGAATGCAGCACATCTTGACACAGAAATTGCCCATGGGATGTTTCCACTCACATTGGCTGTTCCCAGACACCCACCCCTCCTCAGCAACAGTCACTACCCACAACGATGAAAACTGCAGCGATATTTTCACTGAACGACACAAAATATGGAAAGTACTTTTACCTTCCTTTATGCTCCCCACTAAAGAAACCAATCCCTTGTGAATTACTGGAGAGAGCCACGATCACGTACGGAGAACCTTTCATCCAGGTCCATTGTGACATCACTCCACGGTCTCACTTGTCCCGTAGCAGTGTTCTGGAGTTGTCATTTTGCCCATGCAGAGATTTAAAGGTTAATCTCTGTGTCTCTGATCTTTCCACAAAGTTCTTACATCATTCCTCATACATCATTCCAGAGTCAAACTTCGTATTTATTCTTTCTTTTTCATCTTAGATATTCTAAGATCAGCACCTTCCATGAAAACTGCTTATTCAACTCAAAATAAAATGAAAATAAATTAATGAGAGATAAAGAGCTCTTTGATGCAATAACCTTTAATGATTTCTTCCTGGTATATAATTTAGGACAGTGTTTTTCCTGGCTTAATGTTGTAAAGTTTGCATCATAAACAAAAAGCTGATGATTCATAAAACATTATTGCTAATGTATTTTTGAAATTAGCAAGAGACATGTAAAGTATCTTCCTTGTCTACCAGGATTCTTGAAAGGAAACTTCCCTTTGAGAAATTATTCTTGGCACCAATGGCTAGAGTAGCCAGCCTTATGGGAAGAAGCACCAGTGGTGACACCCACTGTGGAAGGTATAAATAGGGTTTCCCAGCAGCGGACAACTCGCAGTCTGATTTAATATCAAGCTGTGCATCTTGCTTTGGGCTTCTGCTTGCATTTCCAGCTGCTGTCGCCATGAGTTGCAACGTTAAGGAGACTATTACTGTGTCTAGCAAAGGCAGGAGCAGTGGTGGCAGCTGTATCATTGGTGGTGGTGGTGGAGCACGGATTTCTTCCTATGGGATAGGCAGTAGCAGAGGTTTTTCTGGAAGGAGCTACTGCGGTGGAGTGAATTATGGAGGGGGACTGAGTGTTGGTAGCTTGGCTGGTGGGAGCTATGGAGGTGGCAACTGCTATGGCAACGGCCTTGGTTTTGGCCTTGGAGGCGGTGTGGTGGTTGGTGGTCTTGCTGGCGACTGTTTGCTTTCATCCTGCGATGAGAAGGTCACCATGCAAAATCTCAACGACCGCCTGGCCTCCTACCTGGACAAGGTGAAGTGCTTGGAGAAGGAGAATGCTGAACTGGAGTGCAGGATCAGAGAGTGGTACGCCACACAGGGCATCTCCTGCGAGCCCCGGGACTACAGCTGCTATTACAAAGAAATCGAAGACCTGCAGAATCAGGTAATGACATTTTTCAGTCATCTCTACCCTGTTTAAAGCTTATTTTGGAATTTGTATTTAGAACCTACTGCAATTGTTAGAGGTCACTTTGGTGCTGCTCAATGCTTTCACAAGCATCAATTTTGGCCAGTTCCCCATGGACGTTGTTGAGTGTGGGTGCATATCAAAGGTACATGCTGGAAGGGACAGTGCTGGGACAAGGATTGTTAAAAGGAAAAGGCTGTTTTGTTCCATCCTGGTTTGACCATAGAGGTACAAACAGGACATTACCAAGTGTGCTCTGAGGAAATGTAGCAGGGTCAGCCCAAGGGGAAAAGCAAAGCAAAGAGAGCTACAGACAAGAGCAGAACCCACCTACCAAACGCTGTATCAGCCATGAAGCATTATAAAGTCTAGGTGAGGAAAGCTGAGTATTTGACTTTGATTGCCACAGTGACACAAACATGTCCACAATGAAAGCTCTGGCTGATCTTAAGGCTTAAAGAAACCTTCCAAATATTTTCACTGAAGATAAGCCTGAAGCCCAGCACATACCAGCCTGAATGTCAGTTGAGATTTAATGACTTATGGGAAGGTTCTTTAAGTTCACTTCTTTGTGAGCATCTTTGGAACTTGTGTTCAGATCCTGAAACTAGAATTCCCACCTCACAATTCTTTAACTCTCAAATTCTACATAATTGACCTCTTTCCTTTACTGACTGTGAGCTAAGGAGGCAACACTACCTCCTGCAGCTGCTCTGCTTAAGGAACAAGGCTACTTAAGTAAGAAGGTAACAGAGGAAGGAAATTGTGAAGAGTTACCTAGGTAACTCTGCAGATAGACCTATGGACTCTAACAGCAGAGAGAAGTGAGACAACTCTCATGGTCTGCTCTTTTCCAGATTGTCTGTGCAACCATTGATAACAACAAGATCATTCTGGACATTGATAACAGCAGGATGGCTGCTGATGACTTCCGTGTGAAGTGAGTGCCCCCGTCGCCTCCCCAGCTCCTTCGCGTCTTTGTGGCGTCTCAGTGCACTAATTACAGAGACTTCAGACACATCCCCCCACAACACCACGCTAGGGCAGGACGGGGTGATGAAAGGCATTTTGCCCTTGGTCACCAGTCCTCTCTTAATTAGTATTCTCGGGTAAGACATTTGGCAACAGTGTTTGTTGGCACGGGCCAGGACCAGCACTGAAGGGAGTGGTCCTTAGTGGTGGGGCTGGCACATTTCCACCACAGACCAGTGCAGACTGGGATCAGCAAAACAGAAACACAGCTGAGTAAGTGATATCAAACGGAGTGCTGAGGAGCAGGGAGAAAACAGGTGAGGAAGAGAAGCTTCCACAGAGCCACCAAGAAGCACAGTGCAGAAATCTAACGTGGGGCGCACGCAGCTTAGGCAGCGAGTTTGGAGCAGGAGATCTCTGCACAAACTGAGCATGGGAGGTGTGACCACTCTGGATTTCTGCTTTCTCACCCAACCCAGGTACGAGACGGAGCTGGCCCTGCGCCAGAGCGTGGAGGCCGACATCAACGGCCTGCGCCAGGTCCTGGACCAGCTGACGCTCTGCAGGTCGGACCTGGAGGCCCAGCTGGAGTCGCTGCGGGAGGAGCTCTGCTGCCTGAAGAAGAACCACGAGGAGGTAGGGTCCTGCCCTGCCCTGGGAGCACCACGGCCCTGACAGGAAACTGCCCACACGAATGTGCTCTAAGTTTAAACGTAAAGCACAACCACTTTCACACCACAGCCTTCCCATCAAGCCCATCTGAACTGTTGGGCGTTCAGACCCACCTGCCTCGTGGGAGGGGCAAGAGCTCTGGCAGAGACACTGCTGCTCCTGGGGCTGTGCTGGCACTGGGAGTCCCAGGGATGGGGGAAAGCTGCTGCTGACTCCAGTGGGTGAGAAAAGAAATTACCCAACAGATTTCTTGGGAAAAACACTTACACCTCATCTGCCAGTGCTCTTTAGAGCCCTAGCTGGGAGGTGACTCTCTGAGCCACCGAGCTCTCCTCTTCTATGTTGCCCCTCAAAAGCCAGTAGGTACCTGACCCGGACTGTATTTCCAGGAAATGAATTGCCTGAGAAAACAATCAACTGGAGATGTGAGTGTGGAGGTCAATGCCTGCCCGGGACCAGATCTCAGGCAGATCTTGGAGGATCTGAGATGCCAGTATGAGACGCTGATAGCGCGCAACCGCAAGGAAGTGGAGGATTGGTACGAGTGCAAGGTAAGAGCCACAGCCTGCTACAAAACAAACTGCTGCGCACACTTCAGGGCACAGGAGCGTGTCAGAAACCAGGCATGGAGACCAGGAGCAGTTCCTGCTCTGCAGTGAAGCCCAAGAGCAGCACTCATTCTGCCCTGTGTTCCACAGGAGACACAGGCCTGTCTGACCAGTTTGCTGTGTCCCACCTGGAGCGGCAGCGTTTGCCGCGAGGCCTCGTGGTGTGTTGTTGAAACTGAGATATTCCACACTGGGATTAAAGAGCTTAATAGCCACGAGGTTAATGTGATTTGTAAAACCAGCAGGCAGCGAAGCCGGCAGTTAACGCCCAGCTCACAGGGAACTTGTCTTGCCCACTTTTCTTTGTGCCAGCTGCTCACTGCACTGTGCACCTGTAAAAGCAAGTCCAGTTTACACAGATATTCTCTGAAGCTTTTTCTTCTTGACTGGTGCTTTTCAGATTGAGGAGGTGAATCGGGAGGTTATTACAAGCGGTCAGGAGGTGGAGACGTGCAACAACCAGGTCACTGAACTGAGACGCCAACTGCAAGCCCTGGAAATCGACCTCCAGGCTCAGCTCAGCCAGGTGGGTGCTGAGCTCACCCCCGATGGCTGTGGTGGGCTCACTGCTGGTTGCTTACTGTGAATGAGCACGGTGGTGGTGAACAGCTCTTTCATTTTTGGATTGGAAATTATGAACTCCAGGGTGGCACTTAAATGAATGTTGTTTCTTTGGTTGTTGTGTCTATAGAGAAATAATTTGGAATCCTCTCTGGCTGAGACTGAGTGCCAGTACAACACCCTCCTGGGTGACCTACAGAACCAGATCACGTGTGTGGAGCAGCAGTTGGCTGAAATTAGAGCGGAAATAGAGTGTCAGAACCAAGAGTACAAGACCTTACTGGACGTCAAGTGTCGCCTGGAGCAGGAGATTCAGACCTACCGGTGCTTGTTGGAAGGAGGACAGCAGGATCTTATGTATGTAGATCACTAAATCCACTAGAGAATAAATGAAACTATCAGGGTCTGTATCACAGTTTGGGAGCCCAACACAATCTTTAGTCCACCTTCATACTTTCTTTGAGCTGAAAAAACTGTCTCACAAGCAACTTTACTGTGATGAATGTTTAAATCTGAACTAAATGTCAGTCCTTGGGATCTCCAAAGCAGAGAAACCAAATCTGTTAATTGCCAGTTACACACTGTAACCACTAGTGCTATGTCAGCATTTGTAACAATCTCTTTCCTGTAGTAAGATGGGTGAGAACTGTCAAAACAAGCACTAATTGCAACGCTCTGCATTGCAGTTCCATGCCTAAGGGCAGCACAAACACAAAGCAACTCTGAAAGCGAAAAGAGAATGGCACATAAAATATCTGACCCCTACAAGAGACATAGTGAGAGACTTTGTGTCATGTTGTCAGCCAGCAGTGTGATGTAAAGTTCTAAAATTCTCTATTTCTCTCACTGAATTTATCCCACTAGACATGGAGGAGGAATCGGAGTAGGAACTGGTGTAGGAGGAGGAGTCATTAGGACAAGCCACACATACACTACGACTTCAACCTCCCATTGCCAGCCCCAGGTCACACCCTGCAAGACTGGAGACATCCAAGGTAAGAGACATGTTTTCACAAGAGGAAAACTGGCTTTTTTTGTTTGTTCCTTTGTAATAAGGCCTGGGGACAACACACTCCTGGAGGACATGTCACGAGTGTCATCTCAGAGTGATGCAGGCACGATCCGTTACAGCAGATCCAGCTGCAGTGCAAAATGGGCTGTGTCAGGGAGAAACAGGTTTAAAGAGAGCTCTGACTGAACATGGAGAAGCACATAGCAAATGAGAGACAAGAGGGAGCAGCAGAACTAAGAGGAGAAAGCAGGGAAGTGAGGCCTAAAGAAAAGATCTGGCAGTAAAAGTAAAGAAGATAGCCAAGCAAAGCTTAGCAAAAGAGTCTAGGAATGAAAACAAGCAAATCTGTAACTTTACAGGTGTAAATTTCCATTAAAACACAATTATTTAGGAAATTTCTGGGGTTTCCTGAGATGTCTGCCAACTGGTCTTGTTTAACAGAGTGTATTCTGGAAATATGGGCACTACAAGGACCAAAGTATTGTTATTTGAAGGATTTTATCTCTCTTCAAATCAAATAATGTTGCTACATTTTTTTTCTCTAGTGACCTGCAGGAGAATTTGTGATTAAGGAGGAATGGACTAGAAGATGAAACAGAGAAACCCACAGACAAAACCAGAACACTCGATGTTCACTGCATGCCTCTGTGCAGAGAAAGTAGAAGTAACTCAGCGACGCTTTGCCCTGTATCTAGAGGGGCCCACTGGGGGCCACCTTCTTCTCTGTCCTGCTCCTGCTGTTCTGTAATGCTGTAATCTCTAGAAGTTCCTTGAGTTAGTCAGGATCACTAATGTACCTGCTGGGGGAAAGATTTCTCTAATAAAACTTTGCTTCTGCCCGATGCAATCAAAAAACCTGTGTCTGGAAACTGAGTTCCTTTAGAAAACCAGGTGCTGCTCCGTGCACAAGGGCCACCTAAACTGCTCAGCACCATACTCCACTGGGAACAAAGCTGCTTTGCCAGGGGGAGTCAGGGAAGGGCCTCGCTGACCTTGCAGGTCTGGTCCAGCTCTGCCCTGTAGTGCTCATTGCCCGTTCCTGCACCCTGTCCTCCAGGACCTACAGGAGCAGCCAGTTCAGGCAGTGTCCCTGTGCTTCCCAGAGCACCGTGCTTAAACTCACTGCAGAACATCAAAGAGGAACTCAGTGGAGCTGGAGCTCATCAGTGAAAGGAGAACAGAGAGATGAGTGACAGAATTTCTATGAAAAAACACACTCAGGTTGGTGTCTATCCATAGTTACTGGCTCAGCAGCCACCCCTGGCGTCCAGCTCCAGCTGCTCTCCAGATGTGTCAGACATTACACTGTGAGATGGGCTGGCTGCTGTCAGTCACACACCTCTCAACCCATCTGCACGGCAGCCGCCTGGGGGAGGGACGTGTCCAGTCCTCTGGAGGAGGGACGTGTCCTCCGGCCTCTCCTGTCTCCTGGGCTGCCCTGAGGCAAGCAGCTCGGGGTGTCTGCCCCGCAGAACAAACCCCTCCCTGTCCGACATCCGCCTGCCGGGAGGGACCACGCAGCCCAGGAGCCCCTTCCCCTGGGTGACTGGAGGCTGGGAGCAGGTGCTGACATGACAACTTTCAAATTTTCTGAATCTCCTCTGCTCCTGAGCCAGCCAACGGGGCTGTTGAACATCTGTAGCTGTGCAGAGACACCAACAGGAGGGAAGAGCAGACGGACTGACAGCCCTTTCTACAGCCTCTATAACATGGCATGAACATTTCTCACACCTAAGCATATGTAAAATATTTTTGAGTCCCTTGCAGAGAAATTAAGAGATATTTGGAGCATAAAAGGAAGCACATGTCCCCAGACCCTACTCCTGAGCACCACACACACGGGGGAGCAGCGTTCCTGCCTCTGCTCACAGCCAGGCC